AAGTTCCACCATCCCATCCACTACTCCGTGTCCTGAGGATCCGTTCATTGTCCTGGAGGAACAGAACATTTAATGCCAACATTTGAGCAAATTAATGGTGTCCTCCAAGGCAAGTACGCTTCTGTGGATCAAGGAGAGAAGATGAACGGAACTCTTGCAACTTGAACCCATGACCCTGGTGTAGGTTTGAAAAAATGCCTAAAGCCATTCGGGATATGAAATGCAAGCTGACCATGCGGAGAGCTAACCCACGCTTCCCGGGAAGGAGGGTTAGATAATATTTGGATGAAGCAGAAACCAATTGCTTCTACCCACAATCCTTTGCTTGAGCAAAGATCCATATCCCTGATGACAATAATGATCGGGCCGCCAGTCGGCATGAAGCCAGGAAGGAAACGTCTTCACAGGTGTGTTCTAGCACAGCTCTCATTATAGTTATGTTTGTATATTTCAAGCTTATTTCGGAAAGAGTAAACATTCTGCAATGAGTGTGACTAAGAAAGGCATTTGCTCAGTCTATCTATTTACAATTTTCCAAAAAAGCATCAGCCGTCCCTGTTGTGTGCGAGTGTGCAGTTTGCATGAAACCCCAATGTTCTTGTGGGCTTCTCATTACCTACCTGCCACAGTACAGAGACACACAGATGATGTCTATAAGTGTGGCGCTTGGGTTTGTGTGTGTGTGTGTGTGTGTGTGTGTGTGTGTGTGTGTGTGTGTGTGTGTGTGTGTGTGTGTGTGTGTCTGTGGGCTCTATGGACTGGCATCCTGTTCAGCGTCTCCCCTGTGCAGCCCCTGCACTGGATAAGCACTTATGGAAAATAAATAATGGATGAAAAGGATCAATATGGAAGATGGATAGTGTGCAACGGCATCTAAGATTTTACGAACACTATACAAGTCCTCAAAGTTGAAAACATACACGTGAACATTATTAGATTCATTAGATGGTGAGGAGATGCAGATGGTGAATGATGTATCTCAGTTACCTCACAGTTTGCTTTATAGGTTGTCCTCCAGGATTGCAAACTTTTGCATTATATTCAACTGATTGTATTTCAGCTTTAGCTGGTTACCAGCTCACATACTATATCTGTGGCCTGTGCTGTCACCCTGCTAGACGTAGACGTTTTTAAAAAAGCAGGAGCCTGTGTTTAAAACCGACTGATAAGAGGCAACCCGCTTTAAAGAGGGAGATGGACGGATGGATGATGACAGCAAAACATCTGACAAAAGATGACACTATACATAAGTATCAATCTTTCATGAACAATAGGACAGTGACAGTTACTGTCCCTTATTCTGCTGGAAAGATTTGTACCTGTAAGACAAAAGAACAGCATTAACTGTCGAAGGTCTGACCTGCTTTCCATCGGGATTCATAACCCCGCCGTGTGTCCGCCCCCGAGACAGCAACTAAGATGTCACCCGGCCCACATGTGACCCTGCAAACACACACAGGGCAGACAATAGGCACCAAGTACCAATCACTCACTCACCTGATGTTCTCATGGTCAGGCTATTTTCAGAGACGGAGCAGCGCACGGTATTTCCACAGTGCGTCAGAGCTCTGCTCGGCCGCATCGCACTGAGGGACTATCGGACGTCCAGTCATGATCCCTCGGCTACGGCATTATGCAAAACAAGCGCTGGTGTAGCTAATTGAGGGGACACGCTGACGAAACGCAGAAAATGGCCAATTTGTCTTGCGCTAGTCACACGAGCGGCATCCTGGCCATTAAAATAAAAGAGTCGTGAACATGGGTGCTCTTAGGTCCCATCACTCGGGGCTATAGCTCCGAGTATTTGAGCCCCGATGCCAATTATCTTCCTTCAAAAAAGACAAAGTCATGACCCAGGTAAACTTTACTCACCCCCTGGTTTTTTCAATAGCTAGGAACTCCCCAGCTCATGAATTTAGTCGAACAGCAAGGTATCATTTAAGGTGTTGGGATAGTATGTGGCCCGCGGGCTAGGACTCTGTGTCTGTGATCAGAAGGTTGTGGGTTCAAATGCCATGGCTGGCGGAGCAAATTCGTCTTTGTGCCCTTGACTCTCAATGTAAATGCTTAAGACGCTATGGGTCTCGACAGCCATTTGTTCATCTTACAGAGGCACCTTAAAAATCACATAAGTCTCACGACAGATGTGATTCAGAGAGCTTAGGGAACGTTTCCTACAGTACTCACCTGTCTTTGATTGCATAGTAACTGCCCGCAAAAATATACGACACCCCATTACACAGGCCTAAATTAGCTCGACGGGCTTGTTTTTCAAGCAGTGAATGTTGACAGAGTGTCTCCGGCCCTTGTGTCCTGTGTTTCCTGAGACAGGATCCAGCTGTCATGGACAACGGACGGAAGGGCTGAGGGCGCATAAACTCTCTCAGGCCCTCTGCGTATTGACGCTGCTCTGGCCCCTTCCGGTCCGAACCCGGCTCAGTCTGCCACCATCTTCCACCATCGCCCTCTAGCTTAGGCATGACAGTCGGGCTTCAAACGTTTTTTTCCCCAGTTGATCTCTGGGGCAGGAGCAAAGCAGAGAGATGTGTCTGAACAGTGATGAATGTTGTGTCTGAATTATTTAGGATGCACCCCTCCCCCGCCAACCACCACCACAGCTCTATGAATTACAAGCATGCTACCCATTTGCAGGTTGTGGATCTCAAGTGTCGCTGACCTGCCAAATGAAACAGGCCGTGGACGGCCCGCCGGAAGATGAGTTTAAAACTGATGAATCGGGCATTTCGTGTGACGCCGACGGGCAGGACGCAGCAGCATAGAGCTAACGGACGGTCACTGTTTACCTCCACAGGCCGTACTGTTAACGTTCTCCGTCGCTGCATTATTTTATCTATGTCAGCCCGTCGTTATCAGCACTAAGCTGTAAGGACACCGTAAAGTTATTTCAGCACGATGGATTAATATATAACACATAAACATATCGACGCAGAGCACAGAATCAGTGAACGAATTGCAAGGAATGTAGTCAAGCATTTCAAAGTGCAACTGCAGCCCCCGTCAGCAGAGTGAAATGCCAGGGCTGGTGTATCCACACCCATAGGAAGAAAAAAGCCCAATTTCCCAGTAAGGTCAAGCAGACTAATTCGGATTTACTATAAAAGACGCTGGGTTTGTACTCCTGAGCGCCCCCACCAGGTAAGTGTTGCCAGTACGTTCATGCATCTGTCCTCCCCCCAACCCCAACCTCCCCTGTTACAAGACTGTACTTTTCCAGCGTGGTACCAGGGTCAGATCAGGCTCTGGCACGTCTGATGGACATGTAATTAAACCCACTTCTGGCTCACAGTGCAGTACAGCCAGTGTTGAATCCCCCTCCCCTCCAAAAAATGCATATTCCTTTGCTCCAGTAGATATTTAATCCCTATTACTGCTTGAAGGGTGCCACTGAATAATTGTTTTATGAATAAGCATTCCTGTGCAACAGAGAGTAAATCAGTAGATAAAAGCATTGCTCTATGCTTTAAATTTATATTGTGAAGCTGTTTTTTTGCAATGTAAAGAATTGCTTCCATAGCATAGAATATAACACTTACCTAGTGTACATTTCAGAAAAATGTACACTGTGCTAGTGTACTTTTGTGGCGATCTTGCATAGTAACACAAACCTACTGTACATTTGATAAAACGAAACACACTATGCTAGCTTAGCTATGTGGCGATCTTGCATAGTAGGTGCTTTTGCAGGGTGTCCGTGACCTACTTTGCAGTCCATAGACTGATCCGAAAAGAAACACCGCAGGAAACTGAACCCGTGTTCTTTTTGTGACTGGCTTCAGTCCAGACCCTGCTGACCTGTAACCCCTGCAGCAGCAGGACCGGAGTGGGGGCTCATTATCACTGCCATACCCAGGACCTGACATTTAAGCGGCTCCGTAGAGGACCTATACCTCTGTTGGCCTCATTTCCCCTGCAAGGTGCGTGTGGATCTTTGGAGTTTCCCTTCTGACAATTAACGCATAATTAAAGATAACCCGAAGTAGCCTAATCGTTTTTAATGTGACTCATTTACCCACAATTCTCCTGCACGGCAGCAAGGTGGACCGGGCTTAAAGTAACTACCCTTAGAAACCCACACCCTAGTGATCTGCACTCTCCTTTTGGTCGACATCTGCCTCCGCTGATGCCCCCTCCCTCCCCCCCCTCACATGCCCTCCAGTACGTGCCGATCCCCATGCCAGCCTGAGCGATTCTCAGAAAGCTGAGGCGGCGGGGCTAACCCATGACAGATGTCACACACCAGTATGCCATGGGAGTTGCTCCCTGAGCACCAGTACAGCACTGAGCTATGCGGGGCTCTCATTTCACCTTGGTACCCCTGTTCCCAACTCCCATTGGTGTTTAACAGCCCATGTGAACACAGAATAGCCAATGGGAAAGTAATCAGAGTCATAATCAAACGTCATTATCCAAAAGCAGCAAACCAACTTCCATTGCTGACTGAGATACGAACCCCTTTTCACACACACAGATTTAAAGCTTGAGCCATTTTAAGGGGGATTAAGGGGCCAGAAGTCTTGACAGTATGACCAAACTGCAGAAGATGAAGCAACAGAAGAGTAGTGTGGTCTTCTTTAACAAGAACCGCCCACCCACCTGCCTTCCATAGTCTTATCAACACTGTCTACTGCCCCCTGGCAACTCACAACAGCAGTAACCAAATGCTGAGATCATCGTCAATGTATCACTGGGTTCAGCAAGCCGGAGGTGTTCTGCACGCCGACGGGAACGACGGGAACTGGCTGCTTGGCCATAGCCACTTGCTGCCACCTTCCCATCCAGGGTTTTCCCTCTTTTGTGACACATGGCTGATCTCCTGACTCTGATCACGGACTAAAGATGAAACAAATGTTCCCCGTTAAGGCAGGTCATCTTTCGGGCCGGAGGGAACATGCTGCCATGAGAGGAGATAAGCTCTTAAAGGCAGCTGCTGCGTCCCAACGACACTTTTAAAGCCCCTGTTACAACAATCATACATCTTATTCATTTACTTAACCTTTATTTTTCCAGGCAAGTCACGAAGAACAATTTCTTATTTACATCGACGGCCTTGGAAAAAGGCAGAACAAGCTTTTGAGGACAAGGGGTAAAGATGTAAAGATAAACAAATAATACAAACACAATACTACAAATACAAAATACAGTATAAGCATGCAATATTTTCATCAGTTATTATTCAGATAAGAAACATATATCTGTGAGAGAGTGTCTAAAAAGGTTTTTAAAAGTTAACAATGACAAAAAATCATTCTAATTGTTCCACTCCCTGAGGGCAGCAGTCTGGAATGGTAACGAATCAAACGTGTTTGCTTTGGGGACCCTCGATAATTTGAGTTTGGCAGTACAGGTACTGTAAGCAACAGGTGATTTTTGCAGCAGGTGACACAAATACGGAGGAGACGAACCTAGAAGAGTTTCATGGATGAACATGAACCAATGCACAGTTCGACGTGCGTGTGTGTGAAGAAGGCCAGTTCACAGAAGAATAAAGCGTACAGTGGTGAGTTTTGAAGGAAGCATTTATAGCAAATCAGACAGCAGAATGGTAAAGAACATCAACCTTCTGAAGCACACTTACAAGCTATTAATGACATTCAGGCTTGGCGCTAATTAAAAGTAATGACAGAAATACAGATGCTCCAAACTGCATAGGCTCTGCATAAAAATACTGTTTATACACAGTACAAACACAGTACACAGTGACAAAGACATTAAAGTCACAGAACATATACCAAACCCCACCTGCTGGTCAATGTAAAAACTACACTTCACCCTACAGCCACTGACTGTAATCAATTGCCGAAGAACAGAACTACTACAAAATGTACAACTTACGCTGCACAAATGTCTAAGATTTTCCGAATTAAAAATGTTGTGTTAAAACCAGCACTTCTATAAAAACCAACAGCAACACCTGTGCTTTTTCTGTGCCAGGTAAATGCTGCGTCTGTTGATTCAACCCGGAAACACATCGTGTAAGAAAACACCAAAATAACACTGATGCAGTGTTAAAAACAACATAAAAGCGGGATGCAGTAAACTGTGCATGCGGAGATTGAACTTGGGGTACGGCCACTTTACCCACACCGGCCGAAACGGAGTCGTCAACATGGAAGTTTCTGCACTTGCGGAAAGATCCACAAGGTTGTTTTCTGTGGAGACATCAACCCATTAATAATAACTGACATTGATCCCCATGGGGAAGGTCTCTCTATGCCTCCCCCAACATGCTCTCTGTAGGTGAGAGCAAGCTGGCCATGAAGGGCAGCCACCCGTAGCAGCACCCGGGGCTCGATCCGGCAACCTTCTGCTCATAGGTACATACAGGCTTAGCCCACTGATCCACACGCTGCCCCTAACAACTCTCGCATAGTCTTCATCTGGATACAGACTATAGGTCGTCCTGTTTCTGGAATGTTCAGCTTGTGGGTAACTGTAAGATCTAGGTTCATTCAATTCAGTTTGTCTGTCTTCAGTGCTCTGGATGCTTTGTCACATCTTCTCGTGTCTCAGTAAGTGGCCTCGTCCATGTTGTCGTCACTGTCCCCACCGAACTCCTCCCCGTTGTCAAAGTAAGACATAATGTAGTCTGTCTCCTGATAGAAAAAAAAAACAGGCCAATCAATGGTCTGCTTGATGCTGACATCACAAAATAAGTCCCGCTTTGGGTCACATCACACTACTGACCTCTTCAAATTCCTCTTCGTCATACTCCTCCTCGCCCTCCTGCTCTTCCTCCTCCTGCTTCTTCTCCCGCTCTTCCTCATCAGAGCTCAGCTCCTCCTCTTTCTTCTCAAGTGTCTGACCGAGAAAATATACATGGTGAGGGGGGGGGAAACCCGTCACAAAAGATGATGGACGATGCAGGGTTACTCCAGCGAGACCATGACGGGCTACGCTGAACCGTGATTGGTCCGCGACGGAGCACCGATACAATCCAATGGGATCCACATGTGTGAAACCACTTCTGACAAATTAACAAGCTATTAAGGTGGTGATGATAAGAACATGATTCACAGCTCATCTATTACACTGCCATGAACAGTTGTTGAAATGCTGCAAACAGAGCATTGTGTGACTGAAGGGGCTGCTGTTTGTTAGGGAACACTTTCCCCCCTCCTTCTATCTGAACAATGTCACATGAACACCATAAAGTCATTACTCTATAATCTACAACCAACGGCAGCAGCATCCATGTGTGCACAAACTCAAAATGAAGGTGGAATGATGATGTATTGATCCATGTTCCCCGTGATAAGATGCGACATTCCGAGATAAAGCCTGGCGCTTAAATTGGCCGGTGTTCAGCGGCCAGGTTAAATAAAACGGCAGCAGGTGGATGTGGCATGGCAGCGTTCTGACAGATTGTATCGAGCGGGACGAGACATCCCGCCGTGAACAAAGGCCGGGCCAGAGCAGCGCTCTCTCCGGCCGCCGGTCGGCTCGTACCTCCAGCTTTCGGATGATCTCCTCCTTATCCACGCGGGGCTTTTTCGCGCATTTCGGCGCTGGCAGAGCCCCTGAAGAGAGAGGAAATATGTCTTGGCTCACGGGGACTTAGCGAATCCACCCCCAACCCCAACCCGGATCGATGTATCTGAAATGTCAGCACCCCAAGCACCCGGCACTTCGCCGCGGAAAAGGAAAGGGCAGGACGACTCGGAAAATTATTCCCGCCGGCGATCGGATGCGACGTGCTAGCCAAAAGCGGGGGGCTTTTTTACGTCTCAGCAGGCACCCCTCTGACCTCCCTGGGGTTGTGAGTGAGGGGGGGGGGCACCTGAACCCACACGAGCCTGGCGGATCCCATCTGCTCACGTGCATCTGGGCGTCATTGAGAATCTTCACGCAAACCTTTTAGCAGACTGGCCACCACAGACCGCGGACAAATGACTAACCACATCCTATTCTGGACATTTTCTGCTATAAATGGAAATGCACATTTTACACCGTTATTACAGCAGGCTCATCTTCTCTGTTTTCACTGATGTTAGCATGCCCGGGGGAGTTGGGCAGCCAGTCAACCTTTGGACCCACAAAGGTTTTTGGTCCTTCCCCTCCATTGCCTTCTGGCATTACTTCTTTCCCTCTTCCATTTTCCCCGGCTTCATGCACCATTTTGCACAGAAGGTGTAATAATCGATTGCCACACACTCTTGTCAAGTGCCTTGGAACTATATAAAAATAAACTGCAGGAGGTTAATATCAACCTCATATGGGAGCCATATAGTTGTTTTTCCCTCCCACCCTTCGTCCATTCAGACCGCATTCCTATACATCATCAAACACAGGCCCCTCCTACAGCCGCAGCCCTTTGCCATCGAGGCCGAGAGCGTGCGGTCCGAAAAAAACGCAGGAAGCTCTCCAGAACTGCTTGGACATGACAGATGGGGATTTGTTCTGTGGGCTGAGGACGCCGATGGGCTCTCTGACTGCATCACTGACTACATCTCTGACTACATCAACTTCTGCGTGGACGCAATTATTCATCGGAAAGCAGTTTACTGTTATCCAAATAACCAGCAACCGGATGGAAAAGGATAGCAAGACATTACTGAACAAGAAGAGGGATTTCCTAATGGGATGAGGCCAGGCCCATACTGAGGGATCTAAAAAGGAAGATCTGGCAGAAGATATAGATAGGGAGATATAGGGAGAGGATTGATCACTGGCTATGGCAGGATGGAGAGCCAGTGTGAAGGCAGGAACCAGGAGAGGGCAGATCTAATTATTTATGGTGGAGTGCTTTGTCACAAGCTGTTTATCTTAAGAAGACTAAAGTGCTTAGGTGCAGAAAATGTGTCGTACTAGTCGGCTGTACCCAGTTCCATGTTCTTCACTACTGTTTGCTGGTGGAAAATTTTAAAGTGAAGGAGACTGATAGGACGAACAAACTGATGAGGAAAGCTAGCTATGCCACAGGACCTAGATCCATATATGGAGATATGCCACAGGACTGAGTCCGGACCTAGATCCATATATGGAGATATGACACAGGACTGAGTCCGGACTTAGATCCATATATGGAGATATGCCACAGGACTGAGTCCGGACCTAGATCCATATATGGAGATATGACACAGGACTGAGTCCGGACTTAGATCCATATATGGAGATATGCCACAGGACTGAGTCTGGACCTAGATCCATATATGGAGATATGCCACAGGACCTAGATCCATATATGGAGATATGCCACAGGACAGAGTCTGGACCTAGATCCATATATGGTGTTATGCCACAGGACCTAGATCCATATATGGAGATATGCCACAGGACAGAGTCCGGACCTAGATCCATATATGGAGATATGCCACAGGATTGAGTCTGTACCTAGATCCATATATGGAGATATGCCACAAGACTGAGTCTGGACCTAGATTCATATATGAAGATATGACATAGAATGACCAAGTGTAGTAGAATAATTAAACTAAAGACCAGAACTTTTCTCACATATACTTCAATAAATATGTCCTATTCAGAAAACAACTTCCATCTTCAAATTTCATCAAGTTCCAAGATCTCTGTTTGACACGAGTGCCCCAATGATCCCATAAGACCCCCTAAGAGTGAGGCAGCAGCCGGCGGGGGCTCACTCTCTTTTAGAGGCTTCCTCACTCTGACCCGCAGCTCCCGAGGCAGCCTCTTCCAGTCTGGGAAAATGGGAACCAAGAGTCACACACTTTGCATTGAAGCTAATGCCAAGAAAATGTGTGGCGCCACCCACAGGCCATTTCTATTATTATTCAGTGAGTTACAGACGCTCCCCATATTACGACGGTCCGTGTTGCGATATTTCGACTTTATGAAATGATGAGTTTGATTATGCAATGAATTACATGAGACACTATTATAAAATAGGCTTTGTGTTAATTATTTTCTAAGCATGTTTAAGGTAGGCTATAGGCTAGGCTATAGGCTAGGCTATGATGTGTGTTAGCTTAACTATACTGTATTAAATCATTTACATTTATCACACTCCCCATTAACAGGCACAAACCTCACCTGGGTCCCATTCAATGGTGTTGTCTGTTGGTTCCGTACTCTGGTATTTGTCCGAGTAGCGCTCCACATCTGGAGGAGACAGCACATGACATTCCATTCCACCTCTGTGTCCCCAGTGCACCCCCCCCCCCACGCACCCTAAATGGCCCTAATCCAAGCTGCCTGGCCCCCTGCCTGCCAGGCGGAAACCTTCCTCCACACACTCTGGGTCACAGCATGCCGGTAACCCAGAAAGTAGGCCCGCCCGGGCATAATTCCCAGGACGAAATTACTTCAGTCGAGCCCCTATAGCAGACAACCCGTCCCACCCAGGATAACCTTCCCCCCAAGACGGCAGGCCTGCTTGAAAGGCCTGTAAAGGTGCGGCCTGCAGAGATGCCCTATTAGACTTGCAAGAGTGGGAAAAACATCTGCCTTTATTCTCATTCTGCACGTTTCCTAACATCACTTGGAGCCTCCTTCACTACGCGAGGAGCGTCACTCCAGCTGGTTCTTTCCTGTGGTTCCCCGATGATGGAATGAGTTCCTGTGGTTCCCCGATGATAGAATGAGTTCCTGGACCACATTTGGTCATCAGACTCCTTTCTCCGCCTTCAAGACTCATCTGTTCCAGGAATTCCTTGACTAGCTTGATGTCTCTCTATGTTCCCTGAATGTTTTTCATGTTGCATTACCGGTCATTTAATAGTCTTACTATGTTCTTGCCTTTTTGGAAGATGCTATGCTAATCTTGCTCCAATACTGCTTACCCTTGTAACTGGGCATTCACTGGAAGCTCAGCCTAGCTGCACTTATGCCTATTCGACTCTTCAACAGCACATATGTTTGTAATGTTCTATTTGCGCCAATTGCACATCACTTTGGACAGAAGCATTTACTAAACGAAAGTAAATACTAATGTGAAAATTTAAACCCTGAGCCTGGATAAGGAAACATTCAGGCCACAAGAACTCCAAAGCTCCCTTGTCACTTGCTGACCTTTCTTGGGTGCTGCTGGCCTGATGTAGAAAGGTAGGTTCTTCATGGCTCCTCTCAGCTCCTGCTTCAGGGCCAACATGTACTCTGCCTCCTCGCCTGTCTGTAGCGGCACCGGCTTGTGCTCCATGGGCTTTGGGCAAAAAATGGCCAAGCATCAAAACCTCACATACACAATGCAACCTCCTCTGCAGGCAGGAGAGGCAGATTTGCCAAGCAGTGAAACACACAAACAGCTTTAATATTCTCACCGGGAAGAGTGGCGTTGGCTGAAGGGTGGAAGGGGGCAGGTTCTCCCCTTTCCCAATGCCTACGGCTTCTATGTTGAAAGTCAGCTGACCGCGACCTCTGCCACGCCCTCTTCCTGCCATTCTGACAGCAGATGACAGAAACAAGACTGTCTGCCTGCAAACAGCAGATGTTACTGTGTGGCTCAGCAGGTTAAGACGCTCTGTCTGTATACAGATGGTTGCTGGTTTGAATCCCATCCTTGGCAAAATAATTATAGAATTAAATATATATCTATTGGCCCCTTAAGCAAGGTCCTCAAATATGCCAGACAGAGAGTTATAACTGTGCACTTGGACCCCAAGCTTCACTCTCAACTGTGCATGTATGTATCCCAGGAAAGACATGAGATTGGACATGTGTAAAGAACCATTCCAATGTAGGTGGGCAGACAGAGTAAAGTATAATTTCTGGTTTATTAGTTTTCATGTTATATAGTAAGAGCATGGTAAACCTCTGAAATTATATATAGGCTATGTAACCATGGTATGGTGGCTCACTGGGTACCTCCAATGCTGGTTGTTCAAATTCCACCTACACTGTATGACCCAATGTTGTGTGGCTTAAACGAACAAAATGAAATCAACAGCTTAAAAATCAATTATGGAATGAACTACATGATTTAAAAAAAAACATCCTTCAGTGTGATCCCTCAACAGCGACTTCACAAACCAAAACACTGGACCTTATAAAGTTTTCTCACTTGATATAAACTGATCTGTATTAACGACTAATCGACGTACAAGAATTTGTTAGCAGCACAGACAGAATCAGCAGATTACGTGCACCTTCTAAAATCCATATGAAAGCAGAATTTCCAGAAGAGTAACTCAGCGATCTACGACTTTAGTTTACATATCGATTCCTATTGACAATTTAGCCGAATTCAAATAATTAAAGGAGGTCTCAGCTCAAAACACGCGTTATCGTGCGTTTCACAGTTTCGCTAAATGTAACCACTGGTTTCAATGTTAATATCCAAATTTTCGGATAACCACAAATGTCGATTAAGGCTATGTATTTTGCTATATGAAGGTTAACTTACTGAACAGATGTACTGTACTTTCACACGCTGAGCGAAAGTGTTGCAGCTAACCGATAACGACACATGTATTTTTTTCCAAGTGTACGTATTAGGTAGCTAGTAAAACATTAGCATTCCAACTAGAAAATATTAGTCCATTTCCAATATTTTGATAATTATGTAATAAAACTGTTTCGCTTGCGATGCAGCTGGCCTGATACATTCACCCAGAAAAATGCAAACTTTTTTTCTTCCCCCATTAAAATATGTCCCCCTGGAAACTAAGTAAGTGCGAGATAGTTCCCATGGTTCTTTTGCGCAGGCTATTCGAATGATCTGTTCCTTTAATTAATTCTTAATAATTATAAAAAATATCTGGATAGCCGTGGGAAAAATCATGTTTTTTTTTTATCTTGTGGAATACTGGTAAACTGAGGTAGGGCACTGTTTAAAGAAGCGGTAACTAGCTTAAATTGATGCTTAGCAAAATGCCAATCGACAAAAAGGACTAAACAATAATGTGTGAAATTACAAAGAAAAATGTTACGATACTATCGTTTTGTTTTTGATTGATTACAGTATGCTCAACGAGAGTGTAAATTTGGGTATGGACGGTAGGGACATGTCCATACCAATCCTGTGGGAGTACCGAACTGTCCTTACCAATATTTTTTTGCGATTTCCAAATATTTTCATGTTACGATCCTCAGCGTACAATTAAAGGCAATACGTTTCCTCCGGCTGACAACTGTTGTGGGAAATCAAGGCCCGTTCCAATGGTGTTTCGTTTGCTTGCTTGTCTGTCTCACTAGCTCATTCTTGTCCTCTTCAATTTGTTCACGTAGGAGATGAAGGAAGGAAACAAAAAAATATTAAGATATACTGTGAAGTGCAGGTTCGCGCAAGGCTTGTGGCTCCCAGGAGGGAACATGCAGCCACTGGAGAGGACAGTGAGTGATTACCCATATCGTTCGATTTGTGATTGCCTGGTACAATTTTTGCAGGTAACTCGGTGTCAGTGGTTAACTTTTTGCGATTTGTGATACCTCAATGCGCTACGCACATTCAACATTCACTTTGCTGGCACCAATCTATATCACTAATGCGTCGTGATTTTGTTACGTAAAAGCCCCTACGTGTTTCTTTTACGATTTCCCGACTTTTTTTTTTTTTTTTTTTACCAAATAGTCTGTTATTACTTTTTTGCCCATTTTCTTTAATTCTTGCACTTTTATTTTGATAATTTTGTTACAGCCCATTTTTATAATAAATTTATTTTTAAAGCCTGTTTTTGTTGTCTAGTTATTTTGATTGGGTTGCAATTCTGATGTAATGCTCAATTAATATTGGTGGGTATTCAGTGAATACCCTTTTTGAAGTTTTGTTTTTGTGGTTAGGGGGGCGGGGGTTAGGGACTGATTTGGTCCCTACCAATGTTGAAACCAAACCTATACGTACATATATATGTTCAAGAACAGTCTGCGATATTGTCAAGCTTTCTCAGTGACGATGTTTAGTCTGGAAAAAGTAAAACGACAAAGCACTACGTGAAAAGTAACTCGTGTTCATGAAGCATAATGGAAATGTGACAGCCCTACAGTATCTATTTTACAACAGTAATATTTTTGGAATGTGGAACGCCATGCTGTGGGATATGTAAGATCTATAAAGCCTTACACAGAAGTTCAGGTGAAGTATATCGATTGTAGTTGAATCAGGAGAGGTGAATAGTTTCGCTTTGATCGGAAAATCTTTCTTGAAAAAAAGTAATTATGAAGTAGCACAATAAATGCGGAAAAACTTGGAGAGTTTTGGTTGTGTCTGAACGTTTTTTTTTTCGTAGAAAGTCTAATTCATGAGGCGTTTCAAATGTGTATGAAAATAAAGCAGCATGTCACGCGTTATAACAACGTACCATTTTTGTGCCATTTTTTCAACGACATTCGCAATTTTGTGTTATTTTACACGACAATAAATAAACAAACAAACAAACAAATATTCCATGGCTACTGAATGATGGAGTGCTTCTTAGTATCCTATGACACCTAGGTCTGAACAATCTATTCGCTGCTTACTAAAAGTAAATCCGATCTGAACTGGAAAACCAAGCACACGCGAGCGCTGACACTCTGAAGGAGCTTTCTTTTACCGGCATTCGCGTGTCACCGTGGGAACGCTTCTGTTGGAATCTAGCAAATCGGTTGCCATAGAAACTGTGTTCCATAATAGCTACAGTCACTAAATTGGTATTTATGCAGTCTGAGAATACAATCAATTCTCTTCATTCTTTCTCTGTCCCAGCTCCCACTCTCTAGCACATGGTGTAAGATATGGTATCATACGTAGGGTACATGTCACTATTGTGTAACAACATTTCAAGTGTCTCGATAAATGTTAATATGACGACAGAGGGCAATATGTCTAATTTCAATGTTCCGGAGGGATATTGGCAATGCTAAAACGACCAAATCAGGCCATACCCTATTTTAGTGATTTGACGCCGCCACTGCAGATTAATTATACTGTTTTCCATGTACCTCCAATTGCACACAGCATTGCACATTACTAATGAGGGAGAAACGGATGGCAGCCGCATCAAGTGAGTCAGCATGATCCACCAAGATCATCAAAGCAGGAGGGACTCTGAGACTGGGGAATACTTAGACTGACACACAAAGGACATGGACAAAAATAGATGGGGGGAATCCATAAGTGAGAAATAAATCTGCTTTTAAAGTGAATGAGTGGAGGAGAGTCACTCCAATCATGACACACCCACACAAACATAACCCAAGTGTATGACATGCACGTACCATAAGCCTACCGTAACCAATACACGCCAGTTACTGTGCTAAGAAATCATTTCATCTCCTTAAGATGAAATGCATTCATCGGGATGCTAAGTCCTCTATGCAACATACTATAATTTAATCGTCTTTTTGTTAACTGGGTTATGCAGTGCTCAGGCAGAGGAGAAACCCTTCAATTTTACTCAGAATTAATACAAAAAAAAAATTAACAAGACTTGATTCCCAGCATTGTTGGAAATGACCCAGGAAACCCATTACTGATCAAATTTATCTTTGTAAATGCCCGGTAGAATGTTCATTTTCCAAATATAAAATATTTCTGGAATAATTTGATATGACGTGACTGATTAGCGCCTTATGCCTAACGCACCGGCATTCTCTGGGGAGATCTGCAAACGTTCCACTTGGAGAGGAACCGTCTTTCTTCAGCGCACCAACAGCCATTAAGCACCGCACGGAATCTCGAAGGACGATGTTTTCTATCCGATGGTGCATAGCCTTCCCCGTATCTTAATATAAACCCTATGCTCCCTCGGACTCCTCGCATTTAAACACGACTGTCGTCTGCATTCAGTCAGCCACGTGCCTTCATATCGTCGGAGCAGAGCGGGATGGCGTTAGTTCTCTCCGGCACCTAACTACCCACTCCCCACCCCCGCAGCGACGTTACCCGTCTTGCCCGAAACTCGCGGTCGCTAGAGAGATATGGGGGAGGGGGGTAAGCAAGCTAAATGCAGAACACTGTCAAATAGGAATAGCTGCGGAATACTTGACTGACTACAGCTGTACTTGAGGGGGGATGAGCAGTCGATCCGTGGAACCTTTATAATAAACAAACCGTACGCAAGGTAAGGAGTTGACCATTAGCCATTACATTTTGTTTGTAAATGTTTAAATCACCAGCCTGATACTGATTATATAAGTTGCTTTAAGTTTATTTAATAGTCGACTTACAGTATTCGTTGTACATTACCAAACAATTGCTATGCAACATAGTTAATTTTCATGTTATTTCAAATTCTGTAAATATGCAGCGGAAGAATGCTGCATGCACTAGACAAGGCGATGATACTATTTCCTGCAACTTATTACATTCCGGTTAGAATCATTATCATTAGTCTTTAGAATTAACTTTGAGGAAAACGCTCCGACAGCAATTTATGGAAATTATAAAGGTGCAGTCAACACGGTTTGACTTGGATAATACTTAAAAGCGCACTCTGCATAGCAACGCTTTTCTCACCAGCTCAGAAATAGGATAATCCAGCCATCTATAATGCGCATTTTTGGTGTTCATTTCATTATAATCCAAGGGCTACTGCAATCAAGTAGTCTGCTATAAACATAGTTTCGCCTGTTCCCTGATTAATTATTAACATGAGATACAATCCACTTTAAAGCTCACATTTCTACGTTATATTTTCTTGAGAACGATTTAAGTCAGTAATATTAATTTTGATGTTCCAATTGCAGTGTCTGACTTGACATTTCGACAGAAGGTGCGCAGAAACTAATTTAAAATAAGCTGTTTCTTAAAGGCTGTGCGGCTTCATTGCGGTCCCTGCGGTGTGACATACATAGCGAGCTCAGCGAGGATTTGCTTTATACTGAGCGACAGTCTTATCGTGGAATATTTCGAAATGTTGTTGGACATACGGACGAATGCAGGCGACGGCCGCGGCTATTTCTGGAACGGGAAATAAATGTACCGTACAACTTATTTGTTAGTAAGGTAGAAAAAAAGAGGCCAGTTGATGCTCACCATAAATTTATTAAAGCTAGACGTCAATGCGCAGTTCAGCTTGTTTTGGCGAAATCTTCCAGGTCCCCAGCGCGTTTTATGTACCTTTTTTTTTGAGGAACTTTTATCTGGCTTGAGATGGAAGCAATCATTTGAATATCTGATTTTTCTCCTGAAATGTCAGCGAACCGGCACTATTCATAAAATAAACGCATAAATTATTTATGTAACAATTCCTCTATTCACTTCACCCGGATTTCTGAAATCCAACATCGTTAAAAGGTGCATTATATCACACCTTTGCGTGCAGTGCTTGGATACGGAGCGGCATTAGTACCATGGACAGCGCCACATATGACTCATGCAAGTCAGTTATTGGCTTTCTACTGTTTAAAATTCACAATTACATTATATTACATTGAATGTCCATATCTTTATTTATTATAACAGAATCTACCCTGTAATTTAGGCAAGAGGTTTAGCCTTAAATATTTGAAAGCTCCATAATTTAGCTGGTCTGATCATAATCTCCAATATTTGTAAAAACCATTGTCACCGTTATCTCAAAATTGCCTCGGCCAGGAAACAGATCTAGCAATGTTTTTAATTTTTTTTTTTTTTGCAAAAAAAAAAAAACACTTAAACTGAATTGTATTTCTAATAAAACAACTGCCAGCCAACATCCCTTATGGGCTCAAGTTGAACACTGACTCGGACACTGACTCGCAAGAAGATTGGTAGTGACTTTGCTGTAGTAGATCGTGTTCTGCCTTGTTTATAGGAATATAGCAAATGAACACACCTCTGTCTCTAAGAGTCTCTGTCTTTATCTGTAATGTCCTGACTTTGTTAAGTCTTTTTAGGTGTTGAGGTCTTGTGATCTACCAGTGCTGAGAATAATAATTATAGTCAGTATGCAGAATCAAGACGGGTAGTAATATAGGGAAATAATGGACTGAAGCTGTACCATAGTATTTGGTAACCCATCATTTGCTTAAATTGTCTGTCTTCACAGAAGCCATATTAGTCCTTCACAGAAATTTAGCTTAATAACTGAACTCCCAGGAGGCCTTGAGACTGGGCAGTGCAGTTGTGAGCCCTTAATCGTGTCTCATGGAAGGGAACCAGTCACGATTAGTAAAATAGAAAATATCCTTGTGGCTGCCCACTATGTTTATTTTAGAGATGCGGTTTTCAATGGGGGACGAAGACCTTGGCCCATCAGAACGAGGAGGGCATCTGTTACGTGTGCAAATGCTTGGAGGCATGAAAGGATTAGGGCTTTCAGCAAGGATACCATCTGAAGATCTGTGACATTGCATGACAGGAGAAGACAAAGGGACAGACAAAACAGCCCACCAGTGCTGGCCAGCCCCTCGCACACAGACTCACAGAAAAACTCCAGCAACTCCATAAACTAGCCATTTATTAATAGCTGTGATATATTACCCAGATAAAATTGGGAATCTGTGCAAGCTGCACAAAGTCCGAGATGACGGCTGTTGCCACTGGTTCAGGACACAGTGAGGTGTTGCTCGCCCTGGACAGTTGGGCAGGATTGGCAATCAGGGGGAACAATCGTAGCGACAGGGGTCACATTTGACTTGGGCGCAGTGGCGAGTAGCATCCAGGAGACACAGAGGTCCATGCGTATGCATGATGGTGTGTAATCTAATGAGACTAGCGGCAGGCCCCGAGATTCTGGCGGGTGATTGGTCATTTCTGACAGTGTCTCTGCCCACTCCTGCCCCCTCGAGAAACTGCAAGGGGTCTGAAGTCAGTGGATTCACCTGAAAGCTATTAGACATGAAGTGCATGGGGTGGGTGCGTGGGAAAGACAAAAATTAAAATGGAAGGATATGTATTACAGATTCATGGTTTAAAAATCTATCTGTTCTCCTCCAGTTTATTTCTTGCATAGCCAAGGTGATGCACTGCACCAGGGTTGGGGCCATTCTGGAATGCATTCATCAATTCCAGTCCAAATCAGGAAGTGGAACTGGAGTTGGGATCGGGAAAAAAAAACTGGAACAGAATTGGAATTGAATTCAAATTTCAGTCTGATTTAAATTCCAACTCCAGTTCCACTTCCTGATTTGGATTGGAATTGACAAATGCATTGCGGAATGGCCCCAACTCTGCATGGCACAGAAAGAAATTACCTTTGTCGGCTATGCATTCGCTATAATTTGGACAGTAATGACAATGCAGTGAGAGATTTATAGAGCGATGTAATGAGAATGATAGCCAAATATATGAAGGACTAAAGAGGAATCTTCTTCAATGCCTTGATTTAATATCCATATGCATTTGTGAACAAAGCAGTTAAAAAAGTGTATTCTTACTTGCAAAAATGAACCAGTAACCAACTGGCAGATGAAGTTTTGTAATGATCTACTCTTGCCCATTCTCGTCATCAAAGGTGACATTCTGAATACTTTTATTTTTTTTTACAATCTTTATAAGCAGTACGGGCAGTTTAGCTGAAACATTAATCTGAAGCTTCTTGCATGATCCTTATCTGACACTTAGGGTCAGTGGGCACCTGCAGTGTGGGGCAGGGTTTTCAGAAGCTTGAGGTCACTGGAGGGTCCCATCGCATCCTTACAGCTGTGATGTCCCGTTGCTCCATACCGTGCTGTTCAAACCAATTTCAAGTGAGAAGCTTATAGGAAAACAGCAGTGGTGAAAAATCTATGGCACCTTGTAATATGAGGGAGAAGGAGAGTAGCTTAGAGAGCAGCTGAATGACTCCAGTACACAATATCTCTGGATTATTTGGACATGCAGTGACCCCCATGATACCATGTATAATGTCTTCTTTCCTCGTCCTTTTTCTAACACTCTCCCTGTCTTAATCTGCCTCTGGCTCCCCATGGACCAGTTTCCCAGCCCTCAGAGAGGTCAGGTGACCTACCCCCCACTTTCCGTCACGGTGGGGAGGGCTGTGCGGACACCGTGGGCACATCTCCGTGGCCGGACATGCGTCGGCACATGCCGGGCTCACTGGCGCTGCGCAGAATCGCAGAGAATCGCTAATAAGGAGCCGAAGGCTGCGTCGCTGCCGTAGGCGGCCGGTGTTAGACGCGGGGGGGCCACATAGCCCCGGGGGGGGGGCACATAGCCCCGGGGGCTGCGGTCTCATGGCCACATGCTTGTTCCTCATTCCTTTGCCAGCCCCCGGAATCAGGGCGGCTATAACTAACAATGAGGAAGAAATGCCCGTAATTTCATTGTCACGGAGCAGGGAAAAAAACAGGTTAATTAACACAATCAGATACTTTTCTGTGTCCAATGCCCGATAAATACTCATTAGACAAAATCTGTATTCACCCATCCTTCCATCTTCCAGTGTACTTACCCAATACATGGTAGAAATGAGCCTGGAGTTTATCCCAGCAAGGCACTGGGCGTGAGGCAGGGTTAGGATGGGATGCTGATCTGTCACAGGGCAACATCTGTAGTCAGTTGTTCATATATGCAGTGACTGAAGATAATAGGAATGTCTTTAAGGGGCTTTCAGTGCCGCCCTCAATCACGATCACTCTTCATCACCGTTAATTGAGATCTGACCCATGCTTCTTCCAACCCTCCAGCTACACGGTCTGTGGCGGCTTCATCTCTGTAAGTCAGAGTAACCACACCTTGCTGCTAAGCTCTAACATTTCTGAGCGTCGGGATAAACCTCCTGCCGTAGCACGTGTAAGACTTGCCCCTCATATCCTCACTAGTATGTCGTCTGTAAGTTGCCGAGAGTGTAGCGTCTCTGTAGCATTTCCCTTCCCGCTTGGCTGTCCTCTTCATTTACATGGACTGCAGTATCTCCTTTTTTAGTTTCTCGCAAAATAGAATACATTTCTGGGGGAAAAAAACTTCAAGTTTAGGTTTGTTTAATTTTCCCCTTCCAGCCTAGCAAGAAGTATTTCGGCAACGTCGATAAAATTTAGGAGTGAGTATAAATATAGAAAAGTACCAGAGTTTTTTGAACAGAGTATTAATGTAAGGAGTGGTGCTGGTCGCCATGTGTTTGTTGATCTTCCCGTCTCTGGGCTGCTCCGAAGATATGGATTACAGGTTTATTGCTAGTTGCCTTGACGATAACATGTTAATGGTGGATAAAGAGAACCACAGTTAACCTTGATTACTCCATAGTGCTACAGACTGTACTATTTCAAACACATGAGGAAACGATAATTATCTTGTTCATTAAGACCAGATATCTTGTTTTTTTTGTGTTTCGATGTTTCATCACTTTCATAATATTTATTCAATTATACAAGGATCACTTAAAAATCCATAGTGAATAGAGGTTGTATTTTGACCGTGTTTAACTGCAGAGTAATTTTTATCCCAATATAAAAAAGCCACATGATTGCTTGTTCCATAAAATGTTTGACATTTTCGGAACCTGCAGTTCAACAAGGACATTTTGTTGTGTGTTTAAACAGCTCAAGCTGAATTTGCACTGACTGATGACTCAAGCAGATATCAATCAAACTTGAACTGGCACACTGTGAGAAGGAGAGAAGACGGATCAGTGGACCCCAAGCTCAGAAGATGCATTTCAGATTTACAACATGTGAATCTCTGAATCACTCATTTTATTATGTTTCCAGCATTTTTACCTCAACTGTAGAATATCACAACTAGAATACCATATTCAGCTACTGTAATCCTAGAATAAAACAATAAAAAATCTCAAAACATTCAAGGAGGTCCCACAAGACATATCTACAACAGAAGCATTATCCATGAAGTCTCAGTAAAAAGAAAATGTTAGCAGACATTAAAATTGTGGACTGATGAAGATGTCTCATGGTTAAGTATATGAATGCTAAAAGATCTTAATGAGATGCAAATTTGTCATAGACGCTAAATGATGTGTCTTCGTTGAGTATTTTAAATTCATGGAGTAACCATTCAGAGTTGATAGCTAAAATGATTTTGCTGAGACCCCTCAGTGCACCAAACTAGTCAAACTATAACATTTTGATACTCTTCAGACATACAGTTAGGTTTACTGAAGATATTTATCTGTTCTTAACATTTAAACTAACATTCTTTGTCTCTAAGAAAATTACTACTAAACTACTGGCAATGACATTTTGAGATTTAATAACGCAATTAAAACAACAAGTTCAATATTGACAAAGAACTAAGGAGTAAATTTAAAAATCTTTTGCTCCTAATTCAGGGGGTAGATTTTACAATGAACGGATTATCACAATAATGGATTTCTTAATCAATGAAGAAAATGTGCACCTTGCTTCATAAATAATGGCTGGTGCTCCAGTCCACTCTCGTTACCTTCTCCTAACTCCTGTCAGTTTACACTTCCAGTCCACAAGCCTGTCCCACAAGCTCTAGTTAAAGAAAACATCTATATCTGACATTTCATATGCCAATATATTAATTCCTGGGTGTAATGTAACCACAAGGTATATTCCTTCAGGTTTACGGTGTGTTTTCGTCTGGCTTGACGCGTGACTAACTCGCCAGTCATTCTTTTGCCTACATTTGGCACATATTAATTTTAGCTCCGCGCTTCATCTTGTGGAAGTGCTTCCCTTCTACAGCGAATCGGTGAGGTGAGAATGGTGGCTGGGGGGTGGAGGGGGGGGGGGGGTCATGGTAAAGCTGGGTCACTAGGGATCCATTACTCAGTTTCCAGGGTTGCGACCCTAATTGCCGCCTCTCCCGTGCGCAGAAAGTGCCAACGAGCCCAACTGCTGGTGGTTGCTGTTCCTATCCCATGAAAATTACAGCCCATCATCTCCTGCGTTAGCAGTGAGGCTAATGTGCTGCACCCCAGGCCAGGCCTGCGCTTTTCCCTTCTTCCCCCCCATCTGTCCGATACAGTCCTGACACCCAAAGTGGCTTTTTGCCACGTTATGTCCTTCCTTTCCCTTCACTTTAAAGACTGTAGACTCATTTCTGGGAGTGATGACGTCTAATGCATCCCTCAGGACGTACGTAGATCCCTCTCGCGTGACATCGTGTTCCAGGTGACGTACGAAATCGATGTGGACTAACAGGAACGCACGCTGCAGTGCTGCACATAAAGAAAAACTCTTTGTCATGCTTAATGTTGTTACAGTTTTGCTGTTTGACTGCTTGGGACAAGTTTGCAGTCAATGAATCAGGTGAAAGGCGATTCATGTATTTATTCATTGGATGTAAGATACAACAGGTCCGGGAAACGACTGAAGCATAGTTGGACTGGCCATTTTTCTTCTGTATCTTATTCCAGGTTGACCGCTGTTCCACGCAATGCTGATGGTGCATTGAAACAAAGGGCAGGAGGAGGTGAGGGCACCATGGGCGACGGAGGGCCCTCGCACGCCGAGGGCAACGCCCTCCTCAAGGCCGTCTTCCAGGGCAAGCTGCGTCTGACCCGCCTCCTGGTTGAAGGGGGCGCCTACATCAATGAGGGCAACGAGCGCGGCGAGACCCCCGTTGTCGCAGCCTGCCTAGCCAGCTACGAGGACCCCCAGAGCCGCCACAAGATGGTGCGCTACCTCCTAGAGAAAGGAGCCGACCCCAATATCCCCGACAAGACCGGGCGGACGGCCTTGATGCACGCGTGTGCCGAGCAAGCCGGTAAGGAGGTGGTGGCCTTGCTCCTGGAGTACGGGGCAGACCCCAGCCTCAAAGACTATTCCGGATCCTCGGCTTTGGTTCACGCCATAAACAAAGGCGACCGAGAGACCCTGCAGATTCTTCTGGATGCCTGCAAGGCTAAAGGCAAGGAGGTCATTATAATCACCACCGACACGTCTCCGTCAGGCACCAAAAAGACCAGGCAATACCTCAACTCACCCCCCTCCCCAGGAGTGGTTGACAAGCTCACCCCAGTTTCCTGTATGTCCCCCTCTGAGGTGGAGATCCGTACATCCACCTCGCCGGGAACCGAGAAGGAGGAGGAAGAAGGAATTTTCAATTTTGCCGTTACACCGGCTTTACCTCTGCCTTCTACTCGACCCCCCGGAGAGAAGAGGGCCCCCCCACGCAAGCTGCTTAAACGGTTAAACTCAGAACCATGGGGGCTGGTGGCCCCATCGGTGCTAAGTGGGGCCGCTAAGGACAGGGGGGATGGGGAGCTGCAGGAAGAAGAGCGGGTGACGACGGAGATCAATGGCCTGTCTATCTCCGGCCCCGGAAGGCCCCCCTTATCCCGTAGGCACAGCATCGAGACCCATGACCCCTGCTCCCCGAAACTCATTGACCGTTCTTGCTCTGAGGATTGTGCTACCCTCTGTGGCTCATCCTGGGCCGACAAGGTGCAACAGCACCAGACGCTGTACCGCAGGAACACCGCACCTGAATCCCAAGAGACGACTGGACAGGTTCCAGTCACCATCCGGGCCTTAGCCCATCCGAAATTAACCCGAATGGAGCATTACGAATCAGACACACACCTGTGCCCCGAGTCCATCCCGGGTTCTCCAGATTCTGGCCGCGTGTCAGTGGAGCGCCGCAAGTACAACGCCTCACCGCTCTCCCTGCTCACCAGCTCTTCCCGGGAGTCTTTGGAGAGCATCCCTAACTCCGTGTCTCCAATCACCATGCGCCGCCGGCCAACAGGGCTTTTGGAGCGCCGAGGGTCTGGTACCCTCCTCCTAGACCACATCTCTCACACCCGGCCTGGCTTCCTGCCTCCGCTCAACGTCAACCCCCAGCGGCCCATCCCCGACATCCGGGCCAACGGGAAGCCCACTTCCCCGATCAATTCAGGGCACAAGATCTTGGTGCCGGTGGCCCCTACATCTCCAAAGCGTGGGCCCGACTTCAAGATGAAGAAGAAACTGATGAGAAGACACTCCATGCAGACAGAGCAGATGAAGCAGCTGTCCACCTTTCAGGAGATCCTGGCCGAGAAGGTGATAGAGTTTACTGGGGACTGAAGCGGATTGGGAGAAAGGACTGAACCTTAACAGGGAAGTGTTTTTGGGGGTGGGGGGTGGGGAGGGGTAGGGACATCAAAATCAAGTGGCTGAGATTGAGGTCCCTTCAATTGAAAGTAGAGATTATCCATTCATTCTAAATATTATTCAGTGCTTCTCAAATTCGAGCCGCTTTCCCTTCTGAAGATGGCAGCCCTATTTTTGTGCTAATGCAGATGCTCGATTTGTTTCCTTCAGCCTGGGTGACCCAGTTTGCTTGGGAGTGCTGCTCTTTTGTGCAGTGCGGGTCTGAACCTCCGTTATCGCTGCGCTGTTGCAGGCAGATGTTGCGTTCCGGCCTCTGCTGATTATTTACCCACGTCCACTTTGGCTAAGCTTTCTAGCCCCTTCTCTAAAACAGAAGGCCTTTGCACTTGTTCTTCGCGTGAATTCATGCACACTGCATGTAGGTCGGAGCGAGAGGAAAAACCGACGCTCATATAAATCGAACAAAACAGAAAGACGTGTGTTAATGAATTGCTGGGAGAGATGCGTGTTCTCTTCCGTCTAAAAAAAAAAAAAAAGGTAAAACACCCTTTTTGCTGACTGATGATCAGTTATTTTATTTATTCACTTTATCTGAGTGAAACATGACAGTGGTTAATAGTTATCTTTAATTCGACATGATCACGCCACATGAATATCTATTTCTTCATATGCACTACATTCTTTATTTATAGTAGCCCATTACCGATACTAGTAAACATTTCTTCATTAATATTCCATGATTATTGTAATATTTCACTTGAATTCATTCTGTTTCACCTTTACAGTTTACCCGTGCCCAAACTTTTTAGAGGAAGACCGAATGACTAAATATATTTTCTAACGGACATATTTATTAATTTGACTGAAGTGCAATTTACCTATCTCAAAATTCCAAAGAAATTTAGTATGCCGTATGTCAGACCCATACCGGGCTGATATATGAACTGATAGAAAAAAATGGATCAAATAAAAAACAGAATATAAACAATCTTCCTAAGTCAATGCACATTTACGATGATTGTGATGATATGATAGGTTTTAGTACAGGTATGATGTAAATATTGTATCTCCCTATGAAATTATTTGTGATTTATATATAAGATGTACATGTGCAATATTCCGTGCTGCTTTATCAAGTATTTAATTTCACGTAACTCTGGATGTAAAGTGCTCCTTTCCAATTTGACGGAAACAATGTCATGCAAACCAAAAACAAGCTGGTAAAGAAATCATAAATCCAGATATCAAAGAAGTAAAAAAAAGTAATTTGTTGTAGTTCTGAAAACTGAACATTCAAGAGGCCAAAACAAGTCCATTTTTCGGTGGTCCTCTTAAAAAGCAAACAAGCTAAAGCAACTTTCTCTGAAATATACCCAACAATGTCTGTTTCAGGAATATTAATTTCTTGAAATATTTCTGTATCAAGGAAATATTCCATGTAAGTGCTGTAAGATATAGTGTTTAATTGCTGTGGTTGTGCTGTATTACTGACCTACACAGAGATATTTTTGTATGCCAGTTATAAAATGGCCGACCAGATCATGTGACGAAAGGTATAGGATTTACAATATACAGCGTTAGTCATACATTTTTTATGTTTACTACGTCAAATGAGGAGGCTAGTGAACGGAAAATCATTGGAGCCTTACAGCTTTTGCTCGATTTGTTATAAATGTCTTAATATTATCAAACATTCTTGTGTGAAACTTAAATAATGTACGTTTTGATGCACTACAGTATCTTAGATTACGTTTCAGTCATCAGATCAGGTGAAATATGACTGTGTGGTTTGGGCTGTGAAATGTTTGTAGGTCTTAATATACAGTACATATTAAGCTTTAGGATTGGAACAACAACTAAAGTGTTTTCAAATGGACAATTACTTAATCGGTCACTGAAAATATTTTTTAAAGCTTAAAATCTGAGTGACATAAAAGGTTAAATTATATAAATTTTGTTGTCAGTTTGATATCAATTGGATAATGATCTAGGGTTTCCGTAACTGCGCAGAGATCAGTGCCTAATATGTGGACAGTGAAGGGTTGCTGAATGAATGTTTGCTGATTATGAATAAAGCAGGTGAAGTATACTCCCAAAGGAATACTCTGCGGAATGTGATGTGACGTGATGTAAGGCCTGAATTACACATCATTCAGCTGTTACACTCAAATGTGTGATTCAGTCCTTGGACCGTGTTAAACATTAAATAATTATGAATATCAATTTTCACATATATAGGCATATATATGTGTGTATATATAGATCATATATGAGAACATCATTTATTAAGATATCAATTTGTGTTCTTCCAAGTGTCATACGATGTTACTGTTTGATTGACCATGAGTAAGTAGTGTTAATTTAGTGATGCTCTGTTTTACAAATCAGCATCATAAACACACTACAGCAAAGCAATATATTATAATCACCTGATAAATCACCATTTTTGTTTCCTATACCATTGCCTGGATGTTCTCTATATTTCTATAGTAATTCAAAATAAAAAAAATATATATGTCTTAACTGATGTAATAATTATCTCGCAAAGATGTTCCAACTCAAAAAAAAATAAAAAAAATCAAGCAGAACAGATGTAGGTATAGAACATAAAATATCTATATGAAGTTGAGACTAAGTGTCGAGTAGTTATAATTGTGCATTCCAATCAACTGTAATTACTCTGAATTTACCAGCTGTAAGTCAAGGGTCACCACTAGTAATAAACCCTAAATCTGATCTTAGAAATGTGTTTTGTGGAATAGTGCCTAAATGTTTGATTTGGTCATAGTGAAAATTTAAAAGAATGTGTTTTATTCTATTCTACTGTCTTGCCAAGTTAAAGAATAGTAGATATTTCGGGCTTACAATATTGTGATTTTCTCTGTCTGGAATGTAACACAGTGGAGATAGTGAAAATTAAAATGATAATTAGTCAGTTATTTTTCAACAGCTAATGACATCTCCTTTTCCATCAAGATATTAAAGCTATACCCACTGTTTCACTGTTGTGTATAGATGCACCACTATGTCATACAGCTGCTTTCAACTAAAAAGTATGATAAACACCCTGAATTCATTACAATTTAGCATAACTCCAACCCTCACGTTAACGTAGAGCAAGCTGCTCTGTATGCCGACAGCTCACCTCAGATTTCATAGCACCATTTCAATAGCTGACCGCAAGCAAGGGGGCTGAGTGTCAGTAGCTCTGGTGGAACAGCATTTTGATGAGTTTGACATCACATCCTGTTCCCTCCAGCCTGGCTTCACACCTCAGAATGACACTCGCAAGCAAGCTTGTCATGATGCTGCAGCTATTTTCTTTTTTGGTCCCCTCAGTTTTCTGCATCTGAAAGAAGAAAAAAAAAGGAGTTATTCTTTCAATGTACTGGAAATAGAAATATTCCTGAGAGGTAAATATTGATTCGGGGCCAGGAACAGCTGCTTAAAATAAATCGAAAAAATCAGTGGTGGGATTTTTCTTTTTTGCACAATTCACCCCTCACTTCTGCTCAGAAACCTTCTTTGTTTTGATCTGCTATGCAAAAGCCCTGATATGCTTCAATAGATTGATTAAACACTTTAAGAAAACTGTAAAACCTTTACAGCAGTTCACTATGATACAAGACCTCTTCCGCTTGTACAGGTTCCCCTAGGATGACACAGTGCTGAGCTGCATCACCGACACAGAGACTCGCACGTAGCCCGCGCACCATTAGCTACATTTACATTAACGCGCCGGACAGGACGACACGAAAGTCTGATTTCGGTAGGGCGAAACGGCAGTGAGCCGGCACGAGAGCTTCGGGGGGGGGGCGGGCCCAGGGACGGCTCTGTCTCGAAAGTGGGTGACATTCCCTAGTGGCGTCTCCATGATGATGGTGTCCAGCCTTTCCAGACACAGAATGGTCACGTGCCTGTAGACCGAAAAGCTCACCTCGCAGTTGGAAATGTGTTCTGGTGTGAAAAAGTGCTCATTATACTACGTAGACAGGAATCAAAAGATGTAAATCCGAAACACAGGCTGCAGGAAGGAAGTATGCATTGTATTTTATTTTATTTACAATAACGAGAAAGGCAACATTTCTTTTGCCGTTTGTTGGCGTGTCTCATAATTCTATGACACTGATGCGCTGTTTGTATCCTGGAAGTCAGACTTCATTCCCAGTGTCCCTGGTCTGTGCCAGAGGCCTTGTGGATGTACCTTTGTCGTGTGAGTCACTTTCAACATCAATAAAGTTATTTTACAATCAATACTATGTTTATTTTTTCCCATTTTTAGGGCATGTGTCAGGGGTATGTAATTATGATTTACAATTTATTAACTTAGCAGATACGCTTATGTTAAGCAATGTGCAATTGAAAGCAGGGCAAGACATTGCCTAGAGCAAGTAGGGGTTGAGGACCTTGCTCAGGTGGGCGATGGTGAGTTCACTTTGCTGACCTCAGGATTCAAACCGGCATCCTTCTGATCACAGGCAGTGTGGATTCAAACCGGCATCCTTCTGATCACAGGCAGTGTGGATTCAAACCGGCATCCTTCNAAACCGGCATCCTTCTGATCACAGGCAGTGTGGATTCAAACCGGCATCCTTCTGATCACAGGCAGTGTGGATTCAAACCGGCATCCTTCTGATCATAGGCACCGCGTCCTAATCCAGGGCACGCCACCCCCTACTGGCCTACCTTGCGGTTCCAACATGTCCGTGTGGTTAAAAGAGTTATTGTGATAAAAAACAAATTGTGTGAAGGCTAACATGGACAACGCCGCAGGACACATACCCAGCAGAGGTGCAGGAAAACTCTGCCACCTTCAGAATTCCAATGTCACTTCTGGCGGAAAGGCTGTTTGGGGAAGGCAATGGCGAAATCTTCATTGTAAATTCGCGAGCTATTTGCATTTGGGCCTGCTCTTGAGATTAGTAATGCCGAATATCCTTTTTCTTGCGAGGAGAGGATCCTATTTTGTATGCATTGGATCATAATTTATTACAATGAAACGTTCTTTGTTTGGCACCCGGTGATGACAAGCGCGGAGACGGGGCCCTGACCCGGGGGCCACTCAATTTACAATTAAATTTAGCTCACCAGCCTCCTAGTCATTTGTAATTCTTTGCTGCAGCCTCTCTAAGTTCCAGCTTAATTGTGTGCCGTTGAAACTCATTGGCTAAATGTTCCAGGAGAAATGAAAAGCCGCCCAAAAAAAGTATACTATGAAGTATTACTATAAGCAGACAAAATATTTCAGTAAACCTGAGCCTTCTTTTGACTGCTGTCCTTACTGACTGTGTGGGGAAGGATGACTTGGTTGACACTATTGTGCAGCAGTCCCACAGATCAGATGATAGACTAGTTGCGGGTTGCCAAATGCTAACTGTAAAATCCCACAAAATGGAAGGATTTGATCATTGCTCCTCTGAGGAAAGTCGACCAGGAAATACAGACTTCGGAACGACTAAAATCGAGGTTAAAAGGCAACTAATGAGCCAGTAGCCAAGGTACCCGGTCTTTCCCAGACCATAATGGTCACAACGCTTCTCTGCTCTGAAGAGTGAATACTGTTCTCTTCTCCATAGTAACCTCTCAGTTTTTCAGGTCAGGCTTTTGTCTGCTTTGAAATCCCAGGCCCCCGTTTTTTGCTTACGGGCATATTCTAATCTGCCATATCTGTTTCTTCTCTTTTTTCTTTTCAATTCCGTGGTGCCGATGAGTGGCTCTCCTCTTGAGCAGGAGCCCTCATAACACCTTGGTATCTCGCATGCCCTCTCTCCTCGAGTGGCTGGTGACAGCACCGACAGCTGCTTCTGGGCTGCCGTTCACGGCTCCGATCTCTGCCTCGGGATGCAGATGCACTTCACGGTTTGCCCCAGTCCTTGCTGGTTTGTAATTACGCCCGTAATTCGTTCGGCCTTTTGAATACTCCAAAACTGACCACGCGGTTCTCGGATTTCCCCTCACATTCCAAGTCACTTGCAGGCAGGTGGGTCTTGGGCATTCGCTACAAACGCTGGGATCAAGAAGAGAAAGGCTGGGAGGAAACTTACATGCCTTTTCATGCTCTCTAATCATTCAATAGACAACAATATGCAGGAAAAGTAGACACCCGTAGTCAACAGTAACGGTAAATTTACTCTTTTTGCAATTGGAATGATTCCGTACTATCAGGTACAATGAATAAATCAATAAGAGCAGAGCACTTCATATATTGTAGTGTACGTGGACAAATTCATATTTAGAAGGAAGTGAACCTGTGATTGGAAATGTAGCGGCTTTCATCAGTAAGTATACGAAGCACATCTATCAGAAGGACTGGTATCTTTATGTGGGGGGATTTCTTGATTTTTTTTCTGCCAGCTCTGATACCTCATAACCAGTGCAGAACATGAATACTTGCCTGTCGGGGGAGGGGGAGGGGGAGGGGGGAGATCCTGCCTTTAATGATAATAATGGTAATAATATTTTATTGCAGTGTTTCTCCTCGGGGGCCCCCATAGGGTCGGCGTTTTTGCTCCTTCCCAACTCTCAGGGAATCGGAGCCCATCTGGGGTGCAGCATTGACCCTACAAGGGCCAGCGTGTGGATTGGTGGGCTAAGCCTGTGTGCCTGTAATCAGAAGGTTGCTGGTTCAAACCCAGCCTCGGCACGTTTGTGGGTCCTTGAGCAAGGCCCTTAACGTCCAGCTCCCTGGGTGCTGCTATGGGTGGCTGCCCTTCGCAGACAACTTACTCTACAACAAGCAAGTTGAGGGAGGCGTAAACACAATTGCCCCATGGGGATCAATAAAACATCAACTATTAGTAATTCCCTTTTCGCCTACCCCGTCTTGCTCTCTATGATACACACAGATGTCAGGCACATACACAGCATATACTGTATATACGGTTCATTTGTAAATAAGAAATTTGAATTGATCCCTGTGAGAAAATTCTATTTTCACTCTAAATGATACACATGTAGATGAGAGCAAGCTTGGCAGCAAAGGGCAGCCACAAGCACCCACGAGGCTGGGGGGGGTTAGGAGCCCTGCTCAACGGCCCCCGGACCGGCACAGAGCCACACAGCGAGTTAAAAATTAAGGTGCAACAAAATTACAACATAGACACTGACTTAAAAGCAGGCATCTCATCCTCAGCACAGACAGTGCAGTCCTGTCCAGCTGACAGCAGGGTTAACAAATGATAAAAAGGGGACTGTGGGCTAACTCCGCCCTCGTGGCCTCTCAGCTGTAAGCCCCTGTCAGTGTGCCGATCCACACTGCCAGCCCATTCCTGTTTTTCTGTAAGGGCCGCTGAATAAATACCATGCTCCTGTCTCCAGGCTTCCTACACCTCAGCCAGGTCTAAATAAAAACCGCACAAAGGCAGCCAGCCCCCTCAGCATCTGTAATACTTTGCAGATGGCCCCGGCTGCAAATGCATTTCACGGATCCGTGCAGCAATATTAATAATGATAAAAAAACACGTGCGATGTGACGACTACGCAAAGCTGCCGTTCGCCGCGCTTCCAATCCGAAAAGGTCGCCCAAACAATGCTCGCTGGCGAGAATGATGAAGCCAGGTTTCGGTGCAACGTTTTAAAAGCGTCGGAAATGGGAGGAGGAAAGAAATCGTGCCAGCATGACTGAAATGAAAAGAGGCAAGCTGAGAAAACAGGGCCAGCAAAATGGCTTAATTTTGGCTGCGTTTACTCTATGCCAACGCAGTAACGCAGAGAGCTCTATGGGGAAAAGATGAGGTGTTCTTTGGTCTGGCAGACTCTCGCTACGACCTCTCCTTAAATGGCAAGTTGGAGCAATTGTATTTTCCTGTTGTTTCATCCCCCACATAATGCAATTGAAAAGCTCTTCTGATGACAAGATTAAAGATGCCCAGTACAAGTGCATCCGTGTATTTTAGTCAGGGATGGACTGGCCATCTTGCACACCAAGTCTTTTCCCCATAAACCGACAGATATGTGGGCCTCATCAGCCTCATCACCCTCATCAGCCTCATCACCCTCATCAGCCTCATCACCCTCATCAGCAAAATTCATCCCTCGGCACCGTGGGAGACCAGCTCTGATTTTAGCGCATATTACAAGTTGATAGGGAATTTTCTCGTTTATCATTACAATTTATTTAGCAGGCATATTTATCCAAAGT